GGGGCTGACTTTTTAGTCAGCGTCCCACTATCAGTGTTCTCGGTAGCTTCTTATCTGTGCAGCCCATGCCACTTGATTAAATCCAACTCGGAACGGTCCGCTGCGGGTAGTTATTACTATTGTAGTATAGATCTGGCAGGGTCCTTGCAGCTGTTTTCATCGCTCCAACAAATAGACTATGGGCCGTCATTCATTGCATGTTGATCCCAACCAATAGAGTAGAGTGTTGAGCTGATTCATCAACTTGGTCACGTTACATGGATGCCTAAACAATAATGCAACTTCAGCCGCACAAGGCTGACAACCCAATCGTAACATCTTCCAAGCTGTTGTCTTTGTCTATACTTTCCACTTGACAACTTCTACCATCATCTTACTGCCATTCTCCGCTAGCTAGACTCTGGGGCCGTAAGGATGCGACGGCTTTGGGAGCATGCACGGCAAAAGGGTAGAAGTAGCAAACAATCTGACAGTTCAGTGTCTGCCTCCCCGCCCCTCCCAATAATAACAAACACACCTCAGGGGCTTGAGGTCGTGTACGATGGGAATGATGCTATCGTTGAGTAAGTACCATCTCCTGATACTTTATTTGCCATATCCTTCTAACGTTGTATTTCTAGCATCATCGCCGTTCACGGCCTAAACGGGCACCGACAGAAAACATGGACCGCAGCTAACAATGTCCATTGGCTCCGCGACCTCCTTCCACACGATCTACCTCGCGCTCGTATCATGTGTTGGGGTTACGATGCCAACACGCACGACAGCTCTCGCGTGAGCTGCCAATACCTGTACGATCATGCACGTACCTTGGTTTCGGATCTGTGCCGAAAGCGGCAATTGACCAGCGTACGTGCTAATTTGGCTCGGGGAACTTAAAGCGCCATGACTATTGGACAATGACTAAAACAAGACTAGTCAACGAGACGGCCGATCATATTTGTGGCACACAGTCTAGGTGGCATCGTTGTAAAAAGTGTCAGTCTCTTGTCTGTATAAAGAGTGCTGGTTATGTACTGATAGGAACAGGCATTGATCCATTCAGACGCATCGCGACAAGGGGCGTTGCTCGAACACCGCTCCATCAAGCTCTGTACATATGGCATCATCTTCATGGGTACCCCACACCAAGGTGGTAACGGGGTGCAATTGGGCCGATTACTCGTAAACATTGCTTCAGTTTTTGTCGCAGCCGATAACCATATCCTGCAGCATCTAGAACGAGACTCAGAGTGGCTGCAGCAGCAGCTCGGGCAATACGGCCCGATTACTAACGACTTTGTTACAAAGTATGCTTATGAGGCATACGAGACTGCAACGGCATTTGGCCGCAAAATCATGGTATGCTCTACTCTTTCCTGTATAATATAGTATACTAAGTGGTAACAGGTAGTCCCGCGTGCATCGGCAGTCGTACCAGGCCATGCCAATGCCGAGTCGATCGTCATTCATCACGACCATATCAACATGGTAAAATTTATAAGCAAGGAAGACAATGGCTATGAGAAGATTTCAGGGTATTTGCAGATTATGGTGGTGAATACGGGTGACCAGATACGGCAGCGATGGGAGGAGGAGGCAAGGATAACAGAGGGTGGGTACCTGCCATATGTCCTTGATTCTGACACTAATTAAAGTCTGTATATGTAGCTCGGACTGATCCTGCGTTCAGTCGATGGTTCCTACCTCTAAGCTTATCCGGCGTCACTGAAGTCGCGCATTTCGTGGCAAGAGAGGAAGAGCTTGCACAAACACATGAGATTTTGCGTGCTAATAACAGACGACGTACTGCTGTCCTGTATGGCTTAGGTGGGATGGGTAAGACACAATTGGCGGCAGCATACATTAAACGCCACCATGCAGATTACTCCGCCGTCATCTGGCTGAACGCCAAAGATGCAACATCACTAAAGCAAAGTTTCGCTCATGTGGCCGGGAGGATCAGTCAACAGCATCCCTCCACACTCTACATTGAGAATGCCATCAAGGACAAGGATCTCGATCAGATAACCGAGGCGGTCAAGCGATGGCTAGGAGAGACTCACAACAGCCGTTGGCTCGCTATTTATGACAATTACGACAACCCGAAATTCCCCAATTCCACAAGTGGGCCAGAGTCGAGCAAAGAGATTGTAAAGGACGAATCTGGTGCGATAAACTCTGAGTCTCAGATATCGCTGGAGAAAGGGTTTGATATTCGACCCTTCTTTCCCAGCAGTTATCAGGGTGCCATTCTGATAACAACACGATCATCTATCGTCCAGCTTGGAAAGATCGTTCGACTAGGGAAATTGACAAGTGTTCATGACAGCCTTCAGATTTTGGCTTCCACGTCACATCGACAAGGCCTCAATGACGGTAAAATGCGGTTGATGAAACGTAACAGATAAGGTCAATACACTAATGTAGTTTGAATAGATGATGCCGCTCTGCAACTCGCGCAGCGACTCGATGGGCTTCCCCTTGCTCTCTCCACCGCCGGCTCTTATCTTAGTCAAGTGTCGACAAGCTGGGCTGAGTACCTGGAGCTTTACAACAAGTCATGGCTACGACTTCAAGAGACTAGCCCACAGCTGCTTACCTACGACTACGCAATGTACACTACCTGGGACATTTCATACAGGCACATCGAGCGAGATAACAAAACCGCCGCTAAGCTGCTTCAGTTGTGGGCATATTTCGACAATGAAGACTTATGGTTCGAGCTACTACAAAGTGGTGCATCGGATGCATCAAATTGGCTGCTACAAGCTGTACAAGACCGACTCTCCTTTGACCAGACGATAAGAGTGCTTTGCAGCCATGGGCTTGTTGAGGCTGACCCACCGACTGGAAAATGGGGCACACAGTCCAACGGATATAGCGTGCATGGATGCGTGCACTCCTGGATGGTGCACGTGCTGAACAAGGGGACCAATGAAGATATGTCTGAACTAGCGATGAGATGCATAGCGTCGCATGCACCTAGCAAAGATGTGGCAGAGTATTGGTTGGTCCAGAGACGTCTTCTTCGACACGCAGATCGATGCCACACGATGCTAGTAAAAACTCAAAACCTGCAAAATCATGAGTGGATACCCGCCGTGCTGGGCAATCTTTACGCTGACCAAGGTCGATTGAAGGAAGCAGAAGATATGTACAATCGCGCACTTCAAGGGGAAGAGAAGGCATGGGGACCAGAACACACATCAACGCTTATTATAGTTAATAATCTTGGTCTTCTCTACGCTAGCCAAGGTCGATTGAAGGAAGCAGAAGATATGTACAATCGCGCACTTCAAGGCTTCGAGAAGGCATGGGGACTGGAACACACATTAACGCTTGATACAGTCAATAATATTGGTCTTCTCTACGCTAGCCAAGGTCGATGGAAGGAAGCAGAAGATATGTACAATCGCGCACTTCAAGGGAAAGAGAAGGTATGGGGACCAGAACATACATCAACGCTTATTATAGTTAATAATCTTGGTCTTCTCTACGCTAGCCAAGGTCGATTGAAGGAAGCAGAAGACATGTACAATCGCGCACTTCAAGGCTTCGAGAAGGCATGGGGACCGGAACACATATCAACACTCGACACAGTCCTTAATCTCAGCAATCTCTACAAAAGCCAAGGTCGATGGAAGGAGGCAGAAGACATGTACAATCGCGCACTTCAAGGCTACGAGAAGGCATGGGGACCAGAACACACATCAACGCTCACCATAGTCAATAATCTCGCATCTCTCTACGCCGACCAAGGTCGATTGAAGGAAGCCGAAGACATGTTTAACCGCGCACTTCAAGGCAGAGAGAAGGTATGGGGACCAGAACACACATCAACGCTCGACACAGTCAATAATCTCGCAGCTCTCTACGCTGACCAAGGTCGATTGAAGAAAGCAGAGGATATGTACAATCATGCACTTCAAGGCTACGAGAAGGCATGGGGACCGGAACACACATCAACGCTTATTATAGTTAATAATCTTGGTCTTCTCTACGCTAGCCAAGGTCGATTGAAGGAAGCAGAAGACATGTACAATCGCGCACTTCAAAGCGAAGAGAAGGCATGGGGACCGGAACATACATCAACGCTCGATACAGTTAATAATCTCGGGGTTCTCTACACTAGCCAAGGTCGATTGAAGGAAGCAGAAGATATGTACAATCGCGCACTTCAAAGCAAAGAGAAGGTATGGGGACCGGAACATACATCAACGCTCGACACAGTTAATAATCTCGGGGTTCTCTACACTAGCCAAGGTCGATTGAAGGAAGCAGAAGACATGTACAACCGCGCACTTCAAGGCTATACAAAAGCACTGGGAGTCCCCATGGTGGACACTTACCCCCCTATGCTAAAGACTCTGGAGAATCTTGGAGACTTGTTACGGGATGTTGGTCGGCTTGAAGAGGCACAGAAATACTATCTTCGTGCAGGAGGTGGTGTTAGACTTGTGTACGGGTCTGAGAGTGAAAAATATCGGAGACTTTCCTCTAAGTTGCAAGTTCATAATTAGGGTAGATGTATTTACTGTTGGAAATAGAGAGATGGCAATCTAGCCAGTTTGTCAATATATTGTTGTACTTCAGTGTTTGTTTAATCAAGAGTTAAGATTAGATAATCGCAAATGCGAAGTGTCCTAAAATCTTCTGCATGGTACTAGCAGCCAGCCCACACTGTAGCTAGTGGATACCGCTATACTTAAAATAGCTATATAGCCTTTATACTTGCGATTACATCCATATACATTGTACTTGGATGAAACAGCCAATTGTGGCTGTTGTGGGTGGGTATAAGGGCTGAGGTGGTGCCAGTTTTGGACCTAGCAAGGTCTACTTTTGTACCGCAAAGTATCTAGCTTAGTTTACAGAAAACGATTGAAAGACGAAAGAGGAACATGGTTTTGCACGAAACTGTAACCTTGGTGCCATTCCTAATGATGATGTAAAGTGAAAAATGGCTGCGACATTGCGATCGGTGCCTGGACTGGACTACGACAGGGGTGGTATGCCTAATTCTAGGCTAAGTCCAGAAATGGGAACAAAGAACTGGTTGAGTTCCAAGTCGCGAAGCATGTAGACTTTGTATATAGTGCATCTTTTGAGATTTTGACACTGTGTGGGGAACTAACCTACAACCAACATATGTTTAAAAAGAGGAAGCTGGTTATGCTCCCAACCGTAACCTTACGGCGGCCAATGGGCAAATGTCTCAGTCGAGCATCCTTGTCGACCAAGTGTGGCAACAAGAGCAGCCCTGCGAATCCCCCCAGTACTTCCCATTTCAGTAGTTCAAGCGGCTAATGGTCTTCATAGTTCAACTACTAGACCCCTTCCCCCCCATCAAACTCTAAATCCTTCCCTGTGTCTGCATTCTGCAACTCCCATTGTCATTGCATCTCATGGTAACTTACCATGGCACCTCGTCACTAATTTATACCAACGCCATCGATTACCAGATAGGGAAGGATCTAGGCTTTACTAGGTCTTCCTACATCCTCCTATGACTAGGGCCTTGAGTCAAGATTATTGCATCGACATGGCCCGACAGCAAATAGAGGCCCAGGGTCTCCTGAGCATTACAATCCCAGGTGCCACTGCCCGCTTTCAATCCCGACATAATGACCATCCCTATGAAAAGAGCCTAGCAATATCAATTCCTAGCTCAGACCTCCAACAAGACGCTCCTCCTCCACTGCCACCTCCTCGGATGCCCCTGGGTAACCCCAACGACCATACTATGCCAATAAACCGACGAAACTATACTCAGTTTGCACCCTCCTTGAGTAGTGGCTATGGGAGTGCTGCCTCGTCGGTAGCTGAGGAGAGAGACAGCTTGAAGAGGAGGGTTACCAGAGTTAAGACTGGGGACCACGAAGAAGGTTATTTAAGTTCTTCAAGCTGGTCGCCGATAGAAAGGTAAGTATAGCCCGTACAATCAACACGAGATGTCTATTGCCTTGCCGGAATAAAACAAATCTAATATGCCTCTAGATCCAAAGATGTATTCCCACCCCTCGGATTCGGACTACACCACGATAACTTTTGCTTCCAATCGCACGCTAGCGATTATGATAGTTTGAAGAAGCTTCTTGACCGGAGACCCGCCGTCGACAGACCTCCGCCGATATCATCCCTTCGCAGTGTCTCCTCAAGGCCGCCGCCAGCCGCCGTCCTCTCCTTCAAACATATTTTACCAAGCTGTCGATCATCACAAGAGAGCCTGGAAATAGATAGGTCTCCACAAACTCGATCATCTAGAAACAATAGCGATGATACATCAGTCCACAGTATATATGAATACTATGGCGCCGAGATGGAAATCGCAGACACCTCCTCTTCTAAAAGGCTTCAGCTTAGTGATGCTTGCCTGGCTGGACGAAAGCGTCGTGCACCTTCGGATGACCTCCTTCACCGAGACGAGGCCAACCCTCAAAGCTCTCCCATTCCCCGTCTTGCTACAGTATCACAGGGCGTACCTGTACCCTCACTTTCCCGCTCAAGCTCATACGTATTCAACATATCAGTAGGCCCATCAAGCGCTGCTACATACGACTATCGCTCACCTAGCGGTATCTCACCCATCTCCACCGCCTCCCCATACACTTCACCAGGGTCCCTTAACCCTAGCCCGAGGAGCTCAATCTCTAGCCGGGCTACAGGGCACCACCGCAACATCTCAGGCGCAAGCCCGAGGAAAAGTCCCGAGATACAGAAGCCTGGGCTTGAGATGCAAGGATTCTTCATGTGCGAATGCTGCCCCAAGAAACCTAAGAAATTCGAGACAGCCAAGGATCTCAAGTACGTATTCTTTCGCCAGCCTATCTTCACTTTTTACAAGTTAATTTAACATAAACTACTAGAGCACATGAAGCTGAGAAGCAATACAACTGTCAATATTGCGGTAATCGCTTCAAGAATAAGAACGAAGCAGAGCGACACCAAAACTCTCTGCATGTCCGACGTCATTCATGGTCGTGCTCGGCTTTGAAGGATTACAAGCGAGCTTTCCATGAGTCAACTAATCGGCGCCATAAAGCTGACACTTGTGGATACTGCGGCGAGGAATTTGCTCGTAATGGCCACGGCCCAGGTGGTAACGGCCCCCGATGTACCACTGAACGGGACTGGGAGGAGCGATCAAGGCATTTGCAGTATTACCACAAATTTAGCGAATGCAACGCGTCAAAGAAGTTCTTCCGAGCGGATCACTTCAGGCAGCACCTGAAGCACAGTCATGCTGGCGCAAGCGGGAAGTGGACTAATATGCTTGAGACCGCCTGCATGATTGATGAGGAGCCTGTACAGCACAGGCAAAACTGAGGAGGAGCACCTACGGCAACTTGACCAGGTCTTCGGCCTCTTTCGCGAGCTTAAGCCGACTATCTCTCCGGAGAAGAGCTGGATTGGCTTTCCGTCGGCGCAGGTGCTTGGATTCCATGGCGATTCCTTTGGCATAACCTCAACCGCGGAAAGGCTCGCAGCTTTGACTGCTTTGGAATTCTCGAAGCAACTGTCAGCCGTACATTGGCGCAACCGGGTTCATACGACACCTACCTATTATGGCAATGATCGAACCAAGAGCGAAAGACCAAACTGCCGGCAGAAGGTCGCAAGAGCGGGAAGCTGGGATTGAGTCACCCGGGCAAACGCAAGACCTTCGTCAATTCGACTGCGTACAAACCAACCTCTTCGGAACTCGCCGCAGTTGAAGCATTGCAGAAGGGGATCTCAACAGGCCGAATGATCCATCATATGGATCTCGATCGCCAGTTGTTCTTTCAGGTAGATGCCTTGCAGCCGCTCCGCCACTGGATCCTGGATAATCCGCTCCGAGAGCGCACACTCAAAGCGCTGCCGAAGCCCACATGAACGAATCATCCTTCCCTGCACACACGAACCTGGCCCCTTGCTATCTTCTGTGCCTAGCCTACCGCATCACCCTGTCACGTCATCAATTCCAGAGGAGCTGGATGACCAGGGATATTTCAGCTGGTTGCTCGGCTGTAGCATGCATGACTCGAAGGTGAAGCGTCACAATTTAGTCACGGATTTGTTGATCACGGCGTGTAGCGTGACTTGGGCTGCCCCAACTTGTCACAAGAATTGAGCCAGCCCTGGCAGCCAATGAGGCAATTTCGTTCGGATGCTGGGCTGCGCCAGAACATTATGAATGAATCGGCCCATGATCACTAGGGAGACTAGAGGATGGGAGAGCGGGGGGAAGATCGTGGCATCTACTGCGGGTTGCGCTTTTGGCTCGCACCACACAATGCGGCTATTTGTGTCGAAAGCGAGGAATGGAGACTAGTTTTCTGAGTGCCTACTATCCAGACTTTGAGAACTGGAAGATGGTGCTGTATCATCTCTCACTCCCATAGTTGGAAGCTCTAATTATCCCGGTGACCATAAAAGAATCTTAGGTGAGGGGGGTACATGGCATGGAGGCAAAGTACTAACTCGCGACGCTAGATTTTTGACCCTGGCTTCGACTACAGGAGGACGTGATAGCATGAGGCGCTTAGTTGCATGATACATGGTTAGAAGGTGTGCTGGTACTACATCAAGACCCTTTTAGGAACTGGGTACAGAAAACACTTGTGTGGCGAGCCTTGGGCTCTCGTATTGCAAGCTACGCGAGGTGCGGAAAATGATGTGAACTGATCAACGCACCTCCGGAGATGGATCTAGCGGAAAGTGCAATGTATGTTAGATGCATCATGAAAGAAGTATGATAATACATTAACCAAAGTAAATGCTTTTCGCCAGTATTTGCTATATCAGTTGTATCTTGGTCGCAGCGTCATGGAGTGCATAGCTACAATATTCCTGGGGTTTGGAATGCTTTCATCCACCAACATCTCATCGAACATGACTCGATCTGTGGTCCTATAGCTGTAGGCTGCGCCATCATCGAGTGCGTTTAGAAGTCTGTGCGGCTCAGTCCACGACGATCCAAAGTCTACGAGCTTCCCATCCTTGATATTATCTAATCGAACATCCAAGTTGTATATCCCCTCTCGGTTCAACGTATAGATACGGTCAAGGATCTTCCTCAGATTGAGCTCAGTGATGCCATGATCTGATGATGCTAGACTTTTCACAATTGCCCGTGGCCTATCACCGCCGGCTGTCTGTCGCTGGTACGCTAGATCAACCTTCTTTAGTCCCAGGTCACACTCCTTCTGTTCCAGATATCTTTGATCTCTGTCATTGAGAAAAAGGAACCCATAGCAACGAGTTACCGCGTCAGATATCTTGGGTCTTTCCTTTGTTGCTTCTCGAATTCGACCGTACGCGCGGCATTCATTGTAGAATGGATCGGTATAATAGGCGGCCGTATGCAGTGACCCGTTTCCGATGAGAGGTTCCCAGAAGTATTCGCTTTTCATGGGGTCGTAGAATTTGAACTGAAAAATGCTGCCATGTTAGCAGCATATCTCAAATTAAACTGCATATAGAGCTAGTCCTTTCACAAGGTCTTACCACTTTAATTGCGTACTCGGCTCGTTCAATCTTGACACGGAAGACATAGCCCTCGTGTGCTGTATCCCCATCTCCAAGCCGTTCAAGCCATTCGATTTTGGAGTCGTGGTGCTCGAATAGGGGAAGCTTTGGGCCATCGCAGGGTGGTAGTTCTTCCGGGATAGGGGGAATATGACGCTTCCTTGCCATGGTCTCAGGGCAAAATCAATTGTGTCTGGTCAAACAATGATGAAGCAGAGGCCTCTTCTCTCTCGATGATTGCTTTATAACTCCAACTTATCCCTTCTGTAGATGATCCTCCGTATGTCGGCCGCCGCAAATTGGGCCGACGGGAGGGTGTGCTGAGTCGAGTCACGAGCCAATAAGTGCGCCACTGTAGTGCATCAGAGTCACCAACATGCATATGCAACCCAAGCTGCAGGAGGCAACCAGCTCCTTTATCTGGTTGTAGCATATCCTATGTGTATGACAGCTTGTGCAGGTGGCAAGCCCAGGCACAAAAAGTAGACCCATGGTGTTGGGGTTCCCGACCCCATGCTGTCTCCACCAACCAGCCCGGGCTACCCGCCCAATGAATTGGCGGGGCCTGTGCATTAGTCTTTTTGCTGCTGTAAGGCCTCGATTCCCCGATCCAGAAGGGGGCATGTACATCCAGCCCTGCTAGCACACACCATCCACGAGAGATCACACTCCCACGCCTGCATTCAAATTAGAGGGCATGCAAGGATCTAGTTGGGAACTAGCGGAGTGTTGAGGCTGGCCACGGCCATGCAGTAGTGTGACGCTGACCGCGTCAGCGGCTAGTTGTGCTGCCGTTACTCTGGCGCGAATTGGCGAGGAGCCCTTGTTTGAAGGCTAGGTAAGGTTGGTCATGACGCTGCGGCTTGACAGCCATGCAATTAATGGAGCATATCATTAACTTACTAATAATAGGACATGGATACCATAAGCAACCTGTAAGGGGTCATTGTCCCTGAAGTATGCATAAGTGATAATGAACACGCAGGCAATCGAACGAATGGCGGCCGCGTTGTAGGCCTGCTCGCTCAACGCTATCCAACCACACTGACGCATCTCTGGTCCTCCTAATATGGCCAGGCCTCCACTCCACCCCACCATGTCTAAGCACATTTTTAGTGTCGTGTACATAGGCAGCGAAGTACAACATCCTTCTCCACGTGAGAGGCTTCACGGCTATTTTCCGGGCCTAAAGCATCATTATATAATGTTTATGGGTGCCGTCGCGTGCGGGAAAATTATCGTTTATCAACCTTTCATTTGCTTCATCTACGAGAAACACTGATTTTTGCTTCAACGCACCAGTTCCTCTGCTTATACCATGGAGAGCCAATCCGTATGTTATACTCAGAGATGCATACTGGGAGGGTTTGTTGTCTTCACCCGGCAAGCGATTGAGTTAGTAGAAAGCGAGCAGCTACACCGCCTCCCACTCAAGCAGAACTCAACAAACGTTTACAGCGGAAGGACGGCGATGAACAGCGCCACAAAGATACACGAGCGAGAGAAGACGCTCAATCCCATAACGATCCAGTTCGAGAGCTTTGCGAAAAGCTCGAAGAATGCGCAGCCTACTTGGCCTCATTGAAGACAAGTCTCCTTACAAAGAAGGCGAAGCTCGCGGACAACGGACAGAACATAGACTATATGTTTTCAATCTGGTGTGGGTTCTGCCGCCGCATGGTCCCCTTTGTTAGCGATACAAGCGATCCTCTGGTTGTCTGCTTGGAACATATTGGCGACTATTTCATGAACCGCCCCGATCGCACCAAGAAGGACATCTCTAATTGGCAGCATATGGAAAATACTCCTAAAGGCCGCTGTGATCAGTCCAAGAGGAATATCCCTGAATGGCAGCACATGGAAAATACCCCCACAGGCCGCTTTGATCAGGTCAGGAGGGAACTCTCTGAATGGCTGCACATAGAAATGGTTCCCCCGGACACGAGCTCGAGCAGGGAAGGCAATGACAAAGCTGAGTGCAGCATCCGACGCACGCCCTTCTAAGCAGCCACAGATTAGCATTGTTTGAGACATCTTATTTTTTCCCTTTTCCATTTGCAACTAATTACGACACTCCTGAGCTATCTTCATTCTTACTTAATGTTCTTGTTCATACAAAAGCTCGATGTAGGCTCGAGCCGCGAGACCTAGCAATTCCGAACGAGAACGTGTTGGTGCTACCCAAGAGATTATAGCGAGGCCGCTAGCCAACTTAACGCTACCGTGAATTCCAATTGTCTATCTACTATAGTAACCGATAGTATCTTATCTCCTTGCCAGACGATAGACTAAGGCTGTGGACGCGTGGTGTAGTATAAAATCGGTTACGCCTGCGGCGGTTTGTTTGACGAGTGTCGTGATTGGCTGCATACGCCGAGCGGGAGTTCACACATTTCTTATTTGCCCGGACATCAGATGTTGAAGACATGGTTCTATATTGATCAGTAGATTCTCTCTCGCTAGGAATTTCGACCTTACTTGTTACTCAGATACGGGGTGATCCAAGATACGGACGGGATTACCAGCCCTGACGAGCGGGTGATGTTGTTGTGAGGATTGAGTGAGTCCATGTTGGTCTTGATGGTCAGACGGGAAGACCAAGATGTTTGTAATTGACGCAGGTGGATGGGGATGAGGGAGCAGCTTGCTGAGTTGGTAGGTACCAGCAAGGCCATAATAAACTCCAAGGCGACTGTGAGAGTTGTGAAGAAGCTTACCTGAAACCAAGTGTGCACCACCCAGACGCTCCACGGATACGTAGAATGGAGCCAACGCTTGCTAAGCGCCAGGCCAAACTGAGTTGCATTCTTGACCCACCGGATGAGGGCTGGGAGGATAATATATGCGAGCTCAACAGTCGACAAAAGAACAAGCGGGAGCGGATCACTTCAGGTAGCACCTGAAGCACAGTCATGCTGGCGTAAGCGGGAAGTGGACTAACATGCTTGAAACTGCCTGCATGATGAATGAGGGGGCTGCATCAACTACTCATACTAAATCCTCTCTTGTCTTTGCTGCAGGCTAAAAGAATTTCCATGTTCGTGTAGTATAAAGACTTATATTAAACCTTGATACCCAATCCAATGCACACTTAGTAAGCCCAACGAGACTTTCACCACTCCCTGGACAGTTTTACATGATAATTAGCAACTACGATATCTGGGTTTGAAGACATACTTTCCGGCGGCAATCTGCGTCACGATGATATCATCTCGCAAATGACAAAGGGACTTTACTACGTACCCAATTCGAATCATCCAGACACACGTTAGATGAATCTCATGAAAGCTACGCTCCAAGGAAGCGATGATCCAATGGGAGGGCCGCTGTGCGACCTGGCCATTGGATATTTCAGGAGGCTTCCGTGGTTGGAGAAACCAGTAGACTCAGCATTGTAAACCTGTCATAGCTTCTAGATCACAACCACCAAGTCGTTTACTGCCATTTTACAAGAAACACTTATCTACTTCGGTAATAGACTCGCCTTCTGCATCGGTCTCCTCTCCTTCCCTGCTCTCTTCTTCTGTCTTACTCTCCCCTCCTGACTTTCCTAGAGATTCCACTGAGGCCGACAGTATGGAAAGCCGTTCACGGATCTCCCTAATCTCTGCGGCATTGGCTTTCGGCAACGATTGAATGTGCATCTGACAGGATCTCAAAGATGCAATCACTGCTTGAACAGACAGCTCAAGCCCGCAATGTTCCCCGGCTTTTACACAGGTTTGACACGGGATACCACCAGTACACTACCTCGGTTAGTCAGGTATGAGTAGTGAAAGAATTGGCTACTAACCTTGATCTTTCTTATTCTGCATCGAGAACAAGCTACCCTGGTACTAGGTCTCTTGCGCTTTCTCACCACCGTTGGACTTTTCTTGGATATATTCTCTGATTGAGTTGGTGCATTCTCTGGTTTTGGCATCTGTTTACTGAAATTAGGAATGAACCACAACAACCCCGGTATGGGCTAAGCTGTAAGCCATACCTCCGCTTGCTGTTGAAAGTCAAGAGCGTGATTAAATATCGCTGCTGGCTTAGTGAATTTCTCGGGCTCCAAAATCCATGTATCGTTGGAAGGTGGTGTATAGGAAGAAGAACAAGGTAACTCATTGACTTCACTCCCTGATTCCAGCCCCATATTTGCCTCCGTTTTGTGGGCATAGAGCGACTGGTGATCATAGGGGCTGTCTCTCAGGGCTAAGAAAGGGTCCAAAAACTCTGCCGGCCTCGTAACCTCGGTTAACCTGGATGGATTGCAAGGAGTATCAAAACATACGACCCATATGATACGTTTGGTATCTCGGGACACCAGTTTAGCCTCAAACTCTCTCTGTTCATGGAGATATCTGAACGATCCAATTGGGCGCTTGCGAATTCCCAATAGATGGAAATATCTGGTGTAAGCTTTTATCCTATATTTCGGGTCAGACAGGAAATATCTATATTGAAGGAACTTCTTTACCCAACATCCGGAAAATCATAATGCTCCGGCATAACTTTCGTTATTTCCTCTACTGTGTAGAAGTCGGATAACAGCTGCAATATCTTTCGGTGTTGAATCCACTCCAAGGGTATATTATCCTATATCTTTGTTAGCTTTGGTATTTGATAGGAATATCATAAAACAGATCATGGGATAATAAAAAAAAAGGAAGGGGTGATAAGCCAATGAATAACTCAGGGACTCTACCTCGTCTTGTTTTAGTGCCACAGTGCCAAAATCTGACGCCGGAGCTGGAGAGGGAATATATAAAACCCTCGGGCCACGGGATGCCTTGGACGCGGGGCCGACCTGTAACGGAGGAGAGGAGAAGAATAGAGTATTTTCGTCTAGGCCATGTTAGATTGGCTTTTAAATGGAACGCAATGTCACACACCAGTATCAGCCCCCCAACCCAATGGACTGACATTCCATGCATACTCTGCCGATGCTGAAAAGGAGCTTTGGGAGAAAGGGGCAACAGTAGGTTTGCCGCATGTGTAAAGTCCTGGGTCTGGTGCCAAAACACACCAGCTCGCTGCCGATGTCGACCAAGCAGGATCATGGAGTTCTGGTCCCAATTCATTCAGCGGGTAGTACGGGATGGTTGGTGGAGACAGTATGGTGTTGGGAAACGCCATGTCAGTCTACTCATGTGTGCGTAGCAAAACGCGTGCTCATATGTTCGGGCAGTCGACGGCTCCTAGGAGCGGGTGGGCATCATTGACAGATATAGAGGCCATGGCTTCACAAGGCTTGCCACCTGCACAAGTTGTCCAATTTCTCATACGCATAGGATATGCGTCCTTTGTGGAGTCTCGTGTAGCCGAAGCCAGGGCTAGAAAGTCGCGAGTTAGTACTCTGCATCCATGCCATGTACCCTCTCACCTGTAATTCCTTCATGGCCTATCAACCAACTAGGATGTAGGGGTATACCAAGGCTTTACTTCCAGGCTACGGATGGGTTGCTGGGATAATTAGAGCTTCCCAACTGTGGGAGTGAGAGATGATACAGCACCATCTTCCAATCCAAAGATCTGGGCAGTAGGCACTCAGAGAACTAGTCCTTATTCCTCGCTTTCGATACAAATAGCCGCATTGTGTGGTGCGCAGTTGATGCTACGATCTCCCTTCCCGCTCACATTCATTCACAGCGTTCTGGCGCAGTACAGCGTCCGAGCGAAATTGCCTCATTGGCTGTCAGGGCTGGCTCAACTCTTGAGACAAGCTGGGACAGCCCAAGTCACGTTACATGCTGTGATTAACAAATACTTGACTAAATTCTGACTCTTCGCCTTCGAATGATGCATGCTACAGCCGAGCAATCAGCTGAATTATCCCGAGTCATCCAGCTATCCTCGCAAGGTGATGGAGTAGAGCCCGTGCGTTTGTCTTTTGCTGCTGCAAGGCCTCGATTCCCCGATCCAGAAGGGGGTATGTACATCTAGCCCTGCTAGCACACACCATCCACGAGAGATCACACTCCCACGCCTGCATTCAAATTAGACGACATGCAAGGATCTAGTAGGGAACTATCGGATTGTTGAGGCTGGCCACGGCCATGCAGCAGTGTGACGCTGACCGCGTCAGCGGCTAGTTCTGCTGGCGCGAATTGGCGAGGAGCCCTTGCTAGGTAAGTAAGTGGGTGACATAAGAAGATCGGCCACCGCTACGATTACGGGACCGGGTCAGTTCCGCGGCATCATCTCTCCACTCGCGCTTTAAGGCACCACTTCCTCTGCTTATAGCATGGAGAGCCAGATACCCATGAGCAAATACTGATAATCATTTGTTACCACCATTCAGGAAGCTGTTAAGCCATACCACCTAGCAGCACGATAGAAACTCTTCCGAACGACAGCAATCGGAACCCAACAAACGTGTACAGCGGAAGGACGGCGATGAACAGTGCAACGGAGATACGCGACCGAGGGAGAACGCAGGAGCCTAAAACTGAAGACATCGCCAACTTGAATTCGTTGAATAAACAGACCCCCGAAGCCCGCCACCGACGCCTGACTTCTTTCAAAGAAGCCTTCAGTCGCTTGGACCAGGACAAACAGCTCAAACTTCTTACTTTGGTGCCTGGGGAATTGTTGCGAGAAGCATTATTGCACCAAAAAGAAGAACTTGCCCGGACGGATGTTTCCTCGGCGAGCATGGAAAATACCCACCCCGAACGCAAGGCGACGACGGCCAACCGCGCCTCGAGCAGCGATGGCAACGTGGAGAAAAGAAAGCAGAGTGTAGTTTTCAACGGACGCCCTTCCAAGCAGAAGGCGAGTTGATTTCTTTTGGACGTTGGACTGCATTAGAACTTGGGGAATAAGCATAAGATATGTACGATCATTTCATAGGGATAGATTCGTGGGGACGGAGGCGGGGGTAATAGGGCTAAAGCTAATGCTATTGGCTTGCATTGCGACATGCGGTTGTATAGAATGCAAAGAGAGGGATATTGGCCTTTTGACACCCTCAATCCCTTGGATCAAAAGACATACCCGCGGGCTCTCGTACCTACAGTTAGAATGCATGGCTATGTTGACAGCGTACTGCGCGGAAGAGAGCCGGATAACTTATGACTCGAATGATCAGTGGGATGGTTAGCTATCGATGTTATGAATAGGTATAATCTAGGGGGCCTCCCGGCGTGGCAGCATAGCTGATGACTACATCAACACCCATAGAGACGGACGTGCAGATGAAAAGGGTGCTAGGCGATCACAGGTAGAGATGAAAAGCTGGCCTGTGAGCTGCGGCTTTTATATTTAGCATATCGCTGGCGCTTATCACGTCCGGCGGCTATGGCTTCGTATAAAAAAACCACCCGACTGTCAACACGTTGGAAAAATCGCTCAATTCTTTACAACGATATATATTTTGATTTAGAAGAAATTTAGGGAGATTACAAGTAAGTACACACCTTAAAGCTTTAACCTACTACTGTCTCATTATATCAAGATACAGCAAAGTGTTCTCGGCACTGGGCCTTTCGTCAAGACAGACGTATGGCTTCCCGATATAAGTCTTTGCGCAGGAGCGTCAAGGGAAACTCGAACCTGGTCCGACGTGGGGGGGTGCGCTCTCATATACAGAAGATGAAGGCTCTTGACATTACGCTCACTAAAACGCAGCTGGAGTGGCTCTTGGAAGAGATGAAGTCGAGCCCCTTTAAATCTCCAATACTGAGGTAACCCCAAGGGTATGGTAGCTGGATATCCTCTTCTTGGTTTACAGTGAATTGGATCAAATGAAGCTATCTCGGCCCAAACGATTTCAATTATTGTATGGGTTGATCCTCGGTTGGATGAATCTATCTTTCTATATTCGTATATAGTAATCGACTTATAAATATCTGAAGATGTTGGGGACATTGTTCCACTAGTAGCAACGTCCTTGTGTGGAATTTCAGCATCTTGAGTAACACGCAGATGGATATGGTCTGCGCATGGGTGATCGATATAGTATAAGATCCGTAAAGCCTGTGGCTCTTTGTTGAGTGTAGTGATAGACTATATACGGTGTGGCTCGTATGCGGGGCGATCCAATACATGGACGGGCGTATAGTTAGGAAGGTAGGCCTAGACGAGCGGGTGATGTTGTCAGGATCGAATAATAAGGTTTTGTTGGTCTTGGTGGTCAGACGGAGAGACCAAGATGTTTGTAATTGATGCAGATGGATGGGGATGAGGGAGCAGCTTGCTGAGTTGGTAGGTACTAGCAAGGCTATCATAAACTCCAAGGCGACTGTGAGCGCTGTGAAGAAGCTTACCTGAAACCAAGTGTGCACCACCTAGACGCTCCACGGATACGTAGAATAGAGCCAGCGCTTGCTAAGCGCCAGGCCAAACTCAGCTGCGTTCTTGGCCCCTCAGATGGGGAGGGCTGGGAGGATAATGGATGCCAGCCCAACAGTCGACAAAAAGAACGAGCGGCCCCGCTTAGCCTCATGGAACGGTTCATGATTATATCGTTCGAGAACTGGGAGGGTTCGGTGCATATCGTGTGTAGCTAGCTCGGGATGATCTGACAAGACGTGTGTGCTCAAACGCGCTTGAAGGTGGCCGATGCCAATGAGCGGCTAGTCGAAGGACATTCGGTCGGTTGGAAATTTGTAGGAGGACTGCAAGTCGCCATCGTATGCCGTCGACTAGATTGGAGGCAGGAAGATACTGTTGTCATATCTCTTTTGTGAAGGATATGGCGAAGGAGATACTAGTGCCTCGACAGCCCGAAGTGTGTCTGAGCAACTGTTGGAAATTCACTCCAACAATACGTGGCCACCCTCTCAAGAGGTGGGTTGGAAGCGACGGATTAGTCAGCTAGGGGCGCTTACGTTAGTGCATCCATGAGCACCCCGAACAAGACAACTTGGTGACGCACACGGAATTTGGGGATCATGGCATAGCGTAGCGGTTTGAGAGGTCGGCTGATCTTTTCTGGCCATAATTCCACGCTGCCGAGGAGGTGGCTGCCTTTCTGGGCTGGCCAGAGATTGGTGGATGATCTCCAACATCCAAGGAAGATCGGAATTGATGACGTGACATGACCGCCTGGGGGAGTACCTGAGGCGATATTCGGTGTTCGTGTATCGCAGCATACTACTAGATACCATCTAGTGACTTCGGGACAGGGGGTAGTGGAATACGGCGATTTCTGGCTGTCAATACACCCACCCCCTGATGCCCACTTAGCTGGAATGTACCGATGTGATTGGCTATGATAGCGCCGCTATGTACATGTACATATGCATGCTACCCCTGGCACCTGCATGTAACTGAGATGAGATCGCTGAGCTTGCTAATGGGTCTATGCGTGCCGTCGCAGACCAATCACGTCCCTGTCAGCAGCTTAATTGCACGTACAGTATTACCCGAGCTGGAACAGCATGCATTGACCTAGACCGCTTTCGTCCCCCTGCACTGACGCATGGCTAGACATTTAGCGTAACATATTGCGATTGGGAGTGATGGAGGCAACAGGGAAAGGAGATGCTGCCAAAGTTCAAGCGATATCAGCTGACACTTAGCGTCAAGCAGAGTAGACCTGGCATCCTAGAATTATTTACGGACTAGGTACTGTACATGGACTCCACCTAAGCATTCGCTGCCTTGCATGGAAAGGCATTAGCCGCTAAACCCCCCGAGGCAGCCTGCAGGAGCTGACATGATGATCAGGGGAGGCATCAAACAGAACAAGGCTCAATACTGGTGGGAGGTAGATGAAAGAAACCTTTGTCTTCGTTTGTATTGTAGAGTCTGTTTTGTGTTGTTTCTAGTTTGTTTCTTTTGACATTATTGTGTTCATGGCGTTGAGCACAAACACCTCCAGCTATCGGGCTTGCTAGTGTCGGGCATCTGCCAAAAGCTGTGTATGCAGTAGGCTCCAGGAAAACCCAAGTTGCCGAGTCACTTTTTTTGTCGTGTGAAGTCCCGTTAGACCAGTCCAACGGGAGAGCCACAGCGGCGTCAAAGCGGACTGCGTTAAAGGCTTTGATACCGAGGCAGATAGTAATTTATTTCGATTACCTGGAGAAGAACAACGAGTCGAGTGGAGCGGTGTTTCGTTGAATGGTGCGCGAACCATCAGCAAGGCACATGTGTAGCTAATAAATACCGTATTATTCCCTCCTCTCCCTTCCTCGCTATTCCTTCTTTCTGTGACCTGGAAAAACACAATAGGGCTCAATCCATTGGCAGCTATAGGAGTAATTCTTTCTCAATTCATTTTGCGGGCACTTCTGTCTGTGTCGCAAGCGTGCGGCCACCGCAGCTCACGACAACCACCAGACCGCCACCTGCTCTCCAACCTACGATGCGCAACCGCAATGAACAGGGTCAAAAACTTGCGAAAGTCAGGAGCTGCCGCACGCAGAATCACCTGTCCAGAATGCAAGGCTGAGCTCGATAGCAATCTGGAGGACTTCAAGGCACACGTCCGCGACAATGTCTCCGAGCATGGCAATCTGACCGGCGATGCCGCCATCGCGGATGCTTTTGAACGGATCAGCTTGAGATCGTGAGTCGGTTGCTGCCTGCCCCTTCGCTTTGCTACATGCTACGTGTATCCCTTTGATTCACGAACATTCTTTCCCCATGCTGTGTTTTATTCACGGACATATCTGCCTGCCCATTCCATTCCATCCATCCTACATACATTTGCAGAGAGAGCAAGCTTACCAGGTTGCTAATACGATAAAATATCCAGTACCGAATATGCCGGCCAGCCCTCGAACAAACTATCAAAGAAGAGGTCGTCCGGCCCGGCTGCACTAGAGAGTATCGACCACGGAGACACGAGCATGGGCAACGAACGAGGGAACAAGAAAGTCTGCTCGCCGACTTCTTCTCAACACCAACATGCATCTCCCAATAGAAAGCATCCTGTCAATAGGAGTCGTACACACCAAAATAATTCCGGTCGTTATGGTTTAAGAGCTGGACTTGCCGGCCGCCCCTCCAACACAGAGCAGGGTTCTATAGGTGTAGGTCGACAACCGAAAGGCATCTTCCACGCTTCCAAAGCTTCCCAGCAGCAGCCACCTCCAATTGACACTCAATATAACTTTACGAAAAACCTCATCGATAACCCACACACGTCGGTCACCCCCCAGCCAGAAACGAATCCGATTTCTCATGAGCAATTGGTAGCCGAAGTGAAGGGTATCTATGCCGGCTTGGTTATGATTGAAACAAAGTGTATTGAGGTCGATAATTCCCAGTCAACAGACCCAGAGCAAAAGTTGACAAAAGATCAATGGCAAGCCCTTATCGCGCTCCATCGTACGCTCCTCCACGAGCACCATGACTTTTTTCTGGCCAGCCAACATCCTGGAGCCAACGCTGCACTTCGACGCCTCGCATCAAAGTATGCTATGCCTGCACGTATGTGGAGACACGGCATTCACTCATTTCTGGAGCTGCTTCGTCGCAGACTCCCTGATTCGTATGAGTACATGCTTACCTTCCTCTATCTGGCATACGCAATGATGGCGTTGCTCTACGAGACTGTCCCTAATTTCAAGGATACATGGGTTGAATGTCTAGGAGATATTGCCAGGTACCGTATGGCGATTGAGGATAATGATCTGAAGGATCGCGAGACTTGGACAGGAGTCGCTCGCCAGTGGTACAGCCTCGCTTCGGAGATGGCACCATCAACTGGCCGACTCTACCACCATCTTGCGATCTTGGCCCGGCCGAATGCTGTTGAACAGCTGTACTTCTATACGAAGTCTCTCTGTGTTCTCATTCCATTTCAAAGTGCCAGGGAAAGCATAATGACTCTCTTCGATCCGGTTCTTACCGCTGCTGCAGCGCCTCGTCTTCCTGCAATTGATGCTGCCTTTGTTCGTGTGCATGGTATCTTTTGCTCTAAGAAGAGCAAAGAACTCTTGGATCCGTCTATTGACGAGTATTGTACGCTTTTGGATCCTTACATTGGCAAAGTGACGAAGAAGTTTCTCGAAGTCGGGCAAGTATACCAGATAGAATAAGCACAAGGGCATAATTACTGACTTTGTATTAGCTATCATACCGGGATCTCTCTATGTTGTTCTCTCTTGGGCTACGGATTGGAGTCAAATCTTATTATGAAAGTGATTTCACCACCCAAAGAAGAAGAGGATACTGCAGGCTCTGACCGTACTAACAATAGTATTGGCGCTGACGAGGCTATTCCTGACGAGATGTTCCCCAAGGCACGCGATTTCGCAATGAAGGTCTATAAAATAGTCGCTTCACGTTTCGGAGATCCGAACACATTGCCCTTTCTTCATACTTTCCTAGCCTTTATGTGGCATATGAGCAAATTCCCTGCTGCCATGGCTCATATCGAGCGAGAGTTCCCATGGCAACTTACTGCAACAATGCTCAACCATACCTTCCAGTCCTGTGGATTCGAGGCACGAATGGAGAGCGAGGAGTTTCCGGGTGCTCTCAAGAATGACACTCCTCGTCCTCTGCCGGAGGATTTTGCGATGAGGAGCTTGGTCTATACGGAGGACTACCTACCATCGCAGTGGTTTAAAGATAGCAAGGTGGAGGAAGACGAGAAACAATTCGAGCTGGCTTCAATGGTCGACCAGCGAAAAGAGAGACTCCTTTGGCTGGGACGTAAGATCGCATCTACTGGAAGGTGGCTCACATGGAATGAACCTACACGACGATTC